CCCTGAGCTTTTCTCAGTGCTAATACTGTACCTCTTAAGCTTTTGGTGATTAATAATTGGAGTCTTGTGGATTTTCCTGCCCTGGCTGGCTTTGAACTGTGATGCTCAGATTTTAGCTCCTGAATAGTTAGGATTATAGGTGTGAGACAAGTTCACAGGTACTCAGTTTATTGTAATTTTTTTTTTTTTTTTTGCCAGTCCTGGAGCTTGAACTCAGGACCTGGGCACTGTCCCTGAGCTTTTTTTGTTCAAGGCTAGCACTCTACCCCTTGAGCCACAGCGCCACTTCCGGCTTTTTCTGTGTATGTGGTACTAAGGAATTGAACCCAGGGCTTCATACATTCTAAGCCACATTTCCCAGCCCTCATTGTAACTTTTTTTTTTTTGGGGGGGTCCGGTCGTGGGGCCTGAACTCTGGGCCTGGGCACTGTCCCTCAGCTCTTCAGCTCAAGGCTAGCACTCTACCACTTGAGCCACAGCACCACTTCCGGCTTTTTTCTTTTTGCTTATGTGGTGCTGAGGAATCAAACCCAGGGCCTCAGGCATGCAAGGCAAGCGCTCTACCACTGAGCCACCTTCCCAGCCCTCATTGTAACTTTTTTAGCAGTGGAAAAAGGTAGGGCAGTGAGTCGGCAGGCCAGGTGAACACAGGTAGGCAATTAGAAAGGTGAGGATATAAGGAAATGAGTCTGCACACTTACAATCCCTGCCCAAGGCCTGTGCTGGGAGGAGTTATTCCTGCCTCTGAGCTCAGTCAGAAACACCAGACTGGGTTTAGGTTGCTTTGGCAGGTGCAGGTGTGGACTGGCATGGCCCAGTAGGTGGCAGCACAACTCCAAAGACGGGTTGTAGGCTAGGTGCCTGACTCTCTAGGGAGGAGTTCAATCAGACACCTGCCAAGCAGGCTCTCCCCTGGTAAGATGCTGGCTGCTTGTCTCTGAAGGCCCGTGTTTAGCATGCTTGGTTGTAGAAGTATTTACCTTCCATCTGTGAATCCTGGAAAGCCAGTCTGCTTAGCTGTTCTACCCGGGAATTAGCACAGCAGTTAACTTGCACAGATCATCAGAGGCAGAGGGGAAGTGGTGTTGTGGCTCAAGTGGTAGAGTGCTCATCTTGAGCTGAAGAGCTGAGAGACAGCGGCCAGCCCAGAATTTAAACCCCATGACCGACCAAAAAAGAAGAAAAAGAGGCAGAAGCCTAAAAAGCAGAGGCATGGCTCCAGAAAAAAGGATGAGGGTAATATTTTACAGCTATAATCCCAGCTCCTTAGAGGGTGGGAGATTAAGAGGATCATGATTTAGGAGAAATCAAGGGAGACTCCATTGTAACCAACACACAAGTGGTGTATATGGCTATGGTGCCAGCCAAGGGGAAAATTGTGATCTGAGGCTTAGTCTGGGCAAGAAACTCGAGACCCTGTCTGAAAAATAACTAAAGGAAAAGTAAAAATATGAAAATGGGGCTGAGAAGGTAGCTCCGTGGTAGAGCACTTACCTCGCATGCATGAGGCCCTGGGTTTGATTCCTTAGCACCACATAAAAAAAGGAAAAAAGCCAGAAGTTGCACTGTTGGTAGGTTGCTAGCCTTGAGCTGAAGAGCTGAGGGACAGTACCCAGGCCCAGAGTTCAGCCCCTGCTACTGACCAAAAAAAGAAAAAAAGAAGGGCTGGGAAGGTGGCTCAGTGGTAGAGCGCTTGCCTTACATGCATGAGGCCCTGGGTTCAATTCCTCAGCACCACAAGCAAAAAAAAAAAAGCCAGAAGTGGCGCTTTGGCTCAAGTGGTAGAGTACTAGCCTTGAGCTGAAGAGCTGAGGGACAGCGCCCAGTCCCAGAGTTCAGGCCCTACAACCGGACTACCCCCCCAAAAAAAAAAGAAGAAGAAAGAAAAAAGACTGTGAAAATAAGCTGGGTGCCTGTGGCTCACGCCTGTAATCTTAGCTACTCAGAGGCTGCGATCTGAGGATCACAGTTCAAAGCCAGCCCAGGCCAGAAAGTCCATGAGATTCTTATCTCCAATAACCTACTCAAAAAAAGCTGGAAGTGGTGCTATGGCTTAAGTGGTGAAGTTAGCCTTGGGCAAAAGAAGCTCAGGGACAGCACCCAGGCTATCCAAAGTTTGAGCCCTAGGACTGGCAAAAAGTTAACGAAAGCAAAACAGATACTCTAGGGATGGTGGTATATACCTGTAATTCTAGCTTCTAAGGAAGCCAAGGAAGGGGGACTGCAAATTCAGGGCTTAGCATGGGATAGACTGAGGCCCCATCTCAGAGGGGAGACAGAAAGAGAAAAGAAGTATCAGGGAATGTTAGAGAGAAAGCTGAAAACAAAGCCGTCCATCCCTTCCTCACCGAGGTAAGCCCTGCTGACAATTAAAAGAAGTAATAAAAGAAGGCCAGTTTAAGGTCTTAATGTGGAACTTGTGGCTTCTACAAAAGTGTAGAATAAAAAGTAAATCCTCAAGGGAACTAAAGAGGGACTTCTCAAATGAAGAAATAAAAATGGCAAAGAAACACATGAGGAAATGTTCATCATCCCTGGTGGTGAAGGAAATGCAAATAAAGACAACCCTGAGATACCACCTTACCCCAGTCAGAATGTCCCACATCCACAAATCAGCCAACGACAAATGCTGGAGGGGATGTGGAGAAAGAGGAACCCTGTTACACTGCTGGTGGGAATGTACACTTATACAACCACTTTGGAAAGCAGTCTGGAGGGTCCTTAGAAAGCTAAAGATTGACCTCCCTTACGACCCAGTCATACCACTTCTAGGCATCTACCCTGAACAACAGGAACCAATATACAAGGACACATGCACCTCCATGTTTATTGCAGCACTGTTCGCAATAGCTAGGATATGGAAACAACCTAGGTGCCCCACCACAGATGAATGGATCCAAAAATTGTGGTATCTATACACAATGGAATATTATGCAGCCATTAGAAATGACAAAATAATGGCATTTGCAGGGAAATGGATGGAGCTAGAAGGAATCATGTTGAGCGAGGTAAGCCAAGAACGAAGAGACAAACGGTACATGGTCTCCCTGATAAGTGGATGCTAAATCCAAAAGGTTAGGTGATACGACAAAACTAACAGGACTTAAGAAACAAAGAACTCCCGCTCATCTGGTTGAACCACTACTAAATATCCTCATGCTGCTGATCACAAATATGGTATATAACATGTGAACACTGTTATATATTACAGACTGTGGTAGACAATTTGCTCCAGGGAAGTTAGAATGAACTTGTGACTTTGAAATTATGTAATCATTTAATCACAATCAAAAAAAAAAAAAAAAAAAAAGAACCTCGGGGAAGGGAGGGAGGGAGGGGATGGTAGGGGGAAAACAATGGAGGGGGTAACAATGTTCAAGAGGAAGTGTACTCATAACCTCACTCATGTAACTGTAACCCTCTGTATAGTAGCTTTACAATAAAAAAAAAATATATATAAAAAAAAAAGGTAAGCAAAGCAAAACAAAAGGAAAAAAAAAATGTAATAGCAATGAGTTTTGTACAAAAAATAAAAATTGGCAGGCAAAAAAAAAAAAAAAAAAGTAAATCCTTCCTTTTTTTAAAATTTTTTGTTTTTTTTTTTTTTAGGCCCAGTCATGGGGCCTGAACTCTGGGCCTGGGCGCTGTCCCTCAGTTCTTCAGCTCAAGGCTAGTACTCTACCACTTGAGCCACAGCACCACTTCCGGCTTTTTTCTTTTTGCTTATGTGGTGCTGAGGAATCGAACCCAGGGCCTCGAGCATGCAAGGCAAGCGCTCTACCACTGAGCCACCTTCCCAGCCCAGTAAGTCCTTCCTTCTTCACCTCTACCCTTTCCAATGGATAGCACCGCTGATTTCTCACATGCTTATTTACTTTTGTTTTTAACCTCCCAGTGGCTGTTACCCGCCTGTTCCCAAGGCTGCCCTCAGGCACTTCGCTTCCATTACCCTCTGGGCTCCGCTCTGAGTCTAGTACGAGACCTTGATCGTCATACTTTTTGGCTATTTTAGAGACAGGGTTTTGCTTTGTAACACAGCTGGCCTGTCTCATAATCCTCCTGCCTGCTCTGTCTTGTCAGCACTGGGTGGCAAGCTATGGGATGTTGTTGTTTTTTGTTGTCATGGCCCTTGAACTCCAGACCTGGGCGCTGTCCCTCAGCTCAAGGCGAGCGCTCTGCCGCTTGAGCCACAGCGCCACTGCCGGTTTTCTGGTGGTTCATTGGAGATAAGAGTCTCATGGACTTTCTTGCCTGGTCTGGCTTTGAACTGGGATCCTCAGATCTCAGCCTTCTGAGTGGCGAGGATTACAGGTATGAGCCACCAGCACTGGCTTATGGAATGTTTTTGATGGACCTGTGTCTAGTGTAAATGGTGCTACAGTGTGTGTCTTTGAGCGTTCATGTCAGCATATGTGTCTAGGGTTGGGGCACAGGAAAGGGTGTGTTAAATTCCATAGCTGGGCTGGGAAGGTGGCTCAGTGGTAGAGCGCTTGCCTTGCATGCATGAGGCCCTGGGTTTGATTCCTCAGCACCACATAAGCAAAAAAAAAAAAAAAAAAAAGCTGGAAGTGGCACCATGGTTCAATGGTAGAGCACTCGCTTTGAGCTGAAGAGCTGAGGGACAGCGCCCAGGCCCAGAGTTCAGGCCACACAACTGACCAAAGAATAAATATTCCACGGCTAAGTTTTCCTTCAGAAGCATCTCCCTCCTTCTTTGCGAACCCAGCGTGTAGACCGCAGCAGTTGCAGGGTCTGCAGTGACTGGCACACTGCTCCGCTGTCAGGAGCCCTTGACGGTGGCAGTTGTGAGATTTGCACTCCGCAGGCGCTATGTGATCCTGCCCAGTGCCGAGTGGCAGTGGCCAGCTCCCTCTGTGGCCTCTGCCCACTTTGGGCAAATCTCCACAGTGGCTGTGAAGAGGGATTTCCCTCGTCCTGTGAGCAGGGTCGGTCTCTGGGGCGGGAGCGAATGACCGCATCTCGTGTCTCCTGACTCCCAGGTGAAGAAGGCATACCGGCAGAAGGCCCTCTCCTGCCACCCAGATAAGAATCCAGATAATCCCAGAGCAGGTGAGGCTCTCACAAGGCCATGGGCGGTTTTGGATCTACGCTGCGCACGTGAGTGCTGTGCGTGCAGATGCACAGGCTCTGTCTGCTCTGAGCAGAGGGTCCGGGGGGCATGTCACGTGTCAGGGTGCCTCATGCACTTGCCTTGCCTTCCCGCCCCATCATCTGACGGCTTTTTCTGCCCAGTGTAACGGATGTGAAGTGCTTCTTAGAGGAAGCACCTATCACCACGTCTCACTTTACCTTTCTCTTTTTGTTTTTTTCTTCCCTCTGTCCAGCTGAACTCTTCCACCAGCTTTCCCAGGCCTTGGAGGTACTGACTGATGCTGCAGCCCGGGTAAGGGTGCTCTTTGAGCCGGATAGCCCCTGTGGTGGGGACCACTGCCGCCTCCTGTGGCAGGGCTCTGTCCTGGCTGTGTAGGCCCCGCAGCCCCAGTCACCAGGCCGCTGCCCTCATGGCTCGGCTGGGAGGCGGGAGCAGGAGGGGCGCTGAGGCACCGTCCTTTTCTCCGACCCTCTGCTCTGTGTTTCTTCCTCCTGCCAGGCCGCCTATGACAAGGTCAGAAAAGCTAAGAAGCAGGCAGCAGAGCGGACCCAGAAACTTGATGAGAAAAGGAAGAAAGTGAAGCTTGGTAGGTGCGCGTGCAGCGCTGCCTGGCCTCCGCCGTCCCTCACCTTCCCTCTGGGTGGCTCAGCTTTCTTCAAGCCTTTGAGAGCCTCTCGGCTCGGGCTCTGGCGGTGTCTGAGGTGCTGGGTGCAGGAGAGTCTCAGGAGTCCCAGCAGGTACTGTGAAGGTGTGCAGATCTGCTGGCGCCCATTCATCCAGTGTGAATGAAATTGGTCGTTTATTTTCTGTGCCAGGCTGGGACTTGGGGTTCATCCAGGCCTACAGCTTTCACTCGGAGAAGCTCCCTCAGAAGAGCTCCGGAGATCTACTCCCTTTTTCCAGCTGCTTTATTTTCAGACGTTCTTTGCAGACCATAATATCTGCAATCTGAAGAATGTGATTTTTTTACTTTCTAACTTTATTGTTGTTGCTGTCGGTTGTGGGGTCTGAACTCTGGGCCTGAGCGCTGTCCCTCAGCTCTTCAGCTCAAGGTGAGTGCTCTACCACTTGAGCCACAGTGCCACTTGTGGCTAACTGGAGACAAGAGTCTCAGACTTTCCTGCCTGGGCTGGCTTTGAACCGTGTTCCTCAGATCTCAGCCTCCTGAGCAGCTAGGATTACAGGCGTGAGCCACCAGCTCCTGGCCCTCTGAGCTGTTTTTGTTCAAGGCTAGTTCTCTACCACTTTGAGCCACAGTGATACTTCTGGTTTTCTGGTGCGTGTGAGCCACCCATGCCTGGCTATAAATTAATTTTCAAACATTCGCATCAACTCAATAAAGTTGATCTAGGCATTCTATACTCAAATTTCTCTCCCTCCCGCCACTTTTTTTTTCTTCTTGCCAGTCCTGGGGCTTGAACTCAGGGCCTGGGCACTGTTCCTGAGCTTCTTTTGCTCAAGGATATCACTCTACCACTTGAGCCACAACTTCACTTCTGACCTTTTCTGTGTATGTGGTACTGAGGAATCGAACCCAGGGCTTCATGCATGCTAGGCGAGCACTCCACAACTAGGCCACATTCCCAGCCTGTTCCTCCCTACCTCCCCCCTCCCCCCATCAGATATTTTATATTTTAATTTGTATCGATTTTGTCCCAGTGCTTCCAGGAGAGTTGGGTAGAGCGCTGGTAGAGCGCTTGCTTAGCGTGCACAAGACCCTGGGTTTGATTCCAGCACTGAAGGGGGTAGAGAAAGAAAACAGCAAGTCCCAGGTTTGAGATACAGGTTTGTCATAGCGGCTGGCCTTCAGAGGGCCACAGCAAGTTTCCTTTGGGAGTTGAGCAAGGCTCGTGGCCTAGCTGATGTCCCATTCGAATCTGCCCATCTCTGGAGGAGCCACTGCAGCCGGGCAGTGGGCCTGGGGAAGGGGGATGGAGGGGGCTGGCAGGGAGCTCAGCAGATGCAATCTAGTCAAAGTCCAGGCAGGTCTAGGTCAGGCTGTGACTCCAAACCACAGGGAGAGAGGCCAACAGCTCCACCCACAGGCATCCCTGATACAGCCCTGGGCTGTTGGCACAGCACTATCTGCCTGTGCTGAGGGCAGGGAAGGAACCTGCTCCGGCAGTGTGAGCTGTTTACTTCCTCCAAACGCCTGCTTCCATCTCTTCTGTGGCATGGTCCTTGTGACCTTTGTCAGTGGAAAATAACTTCAGGCAAACAGGCCCTGTGGAGGGCTCAGGAGCTACTGTGTGCTGTCCTTTTTCTTTTTGTAACTAGGGCTTGAACTCAAGGACTCATGCCTGCTAGGTAGGCTCTCTACCACTGAACCACACTACCTCCAGTCCTTTTTTGTTTGTTTGTTTGTTTTGTCAGTTGTGGGGCTTGGACTGTGGGCTTGGGTGCTGTCCCTGCGCTCTTCAGCTCAAGGTGAGAGCTGTACTGCATGAGCCACTTCCGGTTTTCTAGTGTTTTTTTTAGAGATAAGAGTCTCACAGCCTTTCCTGCCCGAGCTGGCTTTGAATTGTGGTCCTCAGAGCTCAGCCTCCTGAGTGGCTAGGATTACAGGTGTGAGGCACCAGCACCTGGCTAAGGACTGCTTATTTCTGAGATAGGGTTTCATTTCTTGCTTGAGTGTGTGCCAGGACTATGATCTGCCTACTTACGCTTCCCACAAAGCCAGAAAGGACAGGTGTGTGTCATAGCATTTGTTCTTGGTCAAGAAGGAGTCTCAAACTGTTTTGTTTAGACTGGCCTCAAACCACAATCCTTCCTGTCTCAGCCTCCCAAGTAGCTAGGATTACAGGCATGAACCACCAGTGCCTGGCTAATGTGTGTCATCCTCTTTGAGACTTTGTGGGAACTTGGGTGAACTGAGGTCATACGGGAACTGTGACAACTAGCAATTGAGCCGTGTCTCTCTTGTGCCTAGACCTGGAGGCGCGGGAACGCCAAGCCCAGGCCCAGGGGAGTGAGGAGGAAGAGGAAAGCCGAGGTGCCAGCACTCTGGAGCAGGAGGTGAGCATCCGGGCGGTCTGCAGGGGAGGCGAGAGGAGGGTGATGGTCACGAAGGCTGGCTCTACCTTCCTTCTGTAGGAGTGAGCCAGCCTGCACTGGATCTGCACAGGATTGTCACCCCTCCGTCTCCTGCTCTGCAGATCGCACGCCTGCGGGAAGAGGGTTCCCGGCAGCTGGAGGAGCAGCAGCGGCTGATCCAGGAGCAGATCCGTCAGGACCGCGAGCAGAGGCTAAGCGGTGCGTCCTCACCCACGGTGACCGCACTGGCGCTTGGTGGGGCGACTGAAGGCTTCTGCCCCCTAGAACTCCGTGGCACCACGTGAATGCCACCTGCACCTTCCCACCAGTTGTCCGCAGGGCCTGGATGCCTTTTACGTCACCTGGGGACATGCTGCGTTGGTCTTAGTCCCAAGCAAGATAGTTCTCTTTTGGAGCAGACGACCGTGTCAGGAAGACTGAGGCGCTTAGCGCAGTGGAACTGTAGGTTGCCATCAGTGCATCTGGCCCCTAGGAGGTGTTCCCAGCCCTTGGCTTAGAGAGAGCTCACAGGTGGCTTTCTGGAGATGTCTGGGCAGGCCTCTCTTCCCCACCAGGCCCCTCAGTGGGGTAGGGCAGGGCAGACGTTGCCCGTCGTCAAGAGTAACCTTTTTTAGGACTGCCAACGTGTTTGTCCTTTGAGAGAACCTTGGCCCCCTTCATTCTACCTTTCTTCTTTTCCCAATCTTTCTAGGAAAGGCAGAAAATACAGAAAGCAAAGGAACCCCCAAACTGAAGGTGAGTCTTGGGGGACTCTGGGCTTCCTCACAACTCTTGTCTCAGCCAGCACAGACACTTCCTGTGGCTCCATCTTTTTGTTGCTGTTGTTGGTTGTGGGATTTGAGCTCGAGGCCTGGATGATGTCCCTCAGTTTGTTTTGCTCAAGGCTAGTTAGTGTCCTACCATTTTGAGCCACAGCTCAAATGGTTCCACCTTAAAATCACTCTGATCTCCAAGGAAGCCAGTGTAACTCCCATCCTTTCCACACTCCAGGGCCTGCAAACCAGGCTGCTCCCAGAACCTGCCACGGGGGTGGCAGGCCTTGACAAAGCAGAGTACCTCCCGGGGTGGGTGCCCCGCCTCCCCATTACCACAGGAAGCACGTGTTGGCAGTGCTCCTAGATCACAGGTGCTTCCAGGAGCAGAGGGGCCCTGCTCACACTGGCAAGCGCAGTCTCTTGTAGGGTCTGGGATTGTTCTGCCACAGGCCAGTGTCTGTTGATACTTTCTTTCTTTCTTTCTTTCTTTCTTTTTAATTATCAGTCCTGAGGCTTGAACTCTAGGCCTGGGTGCTGTCCCTCAGCTCTTCAGCTCATGGCTAATGCTCTACCACTTGAGCTACAGCGCCACTTCTGATTTTTTCTGCTTATGTGGTGCTGAGGAATTGAACCCAGGGCCTCATGCATGCCAGGCAAGCGCTCTGCCACTGACCCACCTTACCGGCCCCTGCTGTCTTAATTTTTTTTTTTTTGGTCGGTTGTGGGGCTTGAACCTGCCATCTTTCTTTTTCAGCTAAAATGGAAATGCCAGAAAGAGGATGAGTCCCAAGGCGGCTACTCCCAAGATGTCCTCCTGCAGCTTTTGAAAAAGGTCTGCGCCAGGCTTCTGGGCTGAGCTGTGGCCTCTGCCTGCGCTCGTCTGTGCAGGACTGTCACGCTCTGGACTTCCCCTCTCATCTCTACCTGCTTGTTTTTTGTGTTGTTTTCTTGCTTCGTAGACACCTTAGAGACTTCTCCCTGGGCCGTGTCCTCTGTCACTGGGGCGGACATGTCCAGCCTGTTTCCTCCTTTGATGCCCAAGTATAGCCCTTACCTTTATAAGCACCAGGCTTGGCTACACCAGTTCTAGGAGAGAAGGTGGGGGAGGGTGGCTTGAGAGCCCCCTCCTCTTCCCTGCCTTCAGCCAGCTGGAGCAGCTGTGCCAGCCTAGGTCCCCATTGAGTTCTTTGCTCATTTCTCCTTTGCTGTCTTGCATTCCTACAAGCAACCTTTCTTTTCCATCTCTGATCTCACTTCTCTGGTCCCCGAGCAGTAGAAAGGTAGCCCTGGGCTGAAATGCCCCAGTAGGCCCAGGGCAGCCAATGCAAGCTGGCCAATCAGAGGGCCAGCCAGGCTTACCAAGACCCTTCTTGTCCCACAGTATGGCGAAGTTCTCAACCTGGTGCTTTCCAGGAAGAAGGCAGGCACCGCGGTAGTGGAGTTTGCAACGGTCAAGGCTGCGGTGAGTCCTACATGGGGCTTGCGGGGCCCTGGCAGCCCTGGCACGCTAGGGCAGGAACTCTGTTGTTAAGTCCACACTTTGAGGAGATCTCCCAGCCAGCTCTCAGTCAGCATCTCTACATAGGTCCTCTGACCCCCAGGGCGGGTGGGGTGGTGCACTGACTTGATTTCAGGCTGCCTGCACTCCACTCTCCCATCCTGTGCCTGTCTAGGGAGGAGCCCTACAGAGCCTTCCCACCCGCAGCACTCTCATTCCCCAAGCTGAGGGCAGCCGCAGCATGCTGCCGTTTCCACCTTGCTGCTGTCCTCAGCGCCGCACGGGGGAGTAGGACGCTAGCTCCTTTCTTTGGGGAGGGGGGGGTATAGAGGGAAGCTCCCTTATAGCTGACAGATGGACAGGACCAAAGGGTGGATGTTCTGCTTGGCAGGAGCTGGCTGTCCAGAATGAAGTGGGCCTGGTGGACAATCCACTGAAGATTTCCTGGTTAGAAGGTCAGCCCCGGGGCACCACAGGCCCCAGCCACTCAGGACAATCAAAGGTAAGAAGCCAGGTGTCACCCAGCTGGGCCTGCCTAGCGCTCAGGTCCTCCTCCTGTGTGAGATCGTCTCAGGCTCTCCCCTCCCAAGTCTAGGTGGATACAAGTGGAGTGAGGTTGACAGCCCACACAGGAAGACCCAGAGGGACCCTCTCCCCTGTGATTTTATTTTATTTTCTAGTGCTGGGGAGCAAATGCAGGGCCTCCTACTTGCTAAGCATATGCTACTGCTGGTGTACCCCCAGCCCTTCACAGTACCCTAAGTACTTCCCTTATCCTGTACTTGGTGAGCCTCTGTCCCCTTCCCAGGAGCCCCTGCTACTGGTTGAAGCACTGGAGCTTATACGGCACAGTGCTAAGGAAAGAGTCAGGTGCTGGGGGCAGATTTGTCCTTACAAGCTTTGTTTTTCAAGATATGTCTCTTAGCTTCCCACACAGAGATTAAGTATGAAGAAGCAACATCTCTAGGAATAATATGGCCTCCCGCTGAGCCAAGTCTGGGTAACCCCTCATGGAGAAGTATGTACCTTCCAGCCAGGGCTGGCCCCGTGCTACCTCTAGGATAACTGTGTTCCCCTTGTCCCTCAGGCCTGACTGCAGAGGGCAGGTTGCAGGGCTTCTGGCTGTGTATGCCCCAGGACTGATGGCTTTAGCAGGGGCAGGAGCCAGGACCCTGACTGAGGCACTTCTGTGTTACGTCACAATCCTTCACTGGCTTAGCAAGACCTGTGCTCACCTACCTGTCCTGCCTCTGCCTGAGGTGTGGACAGAGAAGGACCATGAAGTATCCTAAATAATCTAAATCACACCTTGATTAAGAAGAGACCTCAGGGTGGGTACTACTCAAGGGCTGAGATCTGAGGATCGCATTTCAAAGCCAGCCTGGGCAGGAAAGTCCGTGAGACTCCTATCTCCAATGAACCACCAGAAAACCGGAAGTGGCACTGTGGCTGTAGTGGTAGAGCGCTCGCCTTGAGCTGAAGAGCTGAGGGACAGCGCCCAGGCCCAGAGTTCAAGCCCCACGACCGACACAAACAAGCAAACAACAAAGACAGAAGAGACCTCAGTCTCTCACCTTAACATAGTATTTCAGAGCCCAGGTAACACTCCATATGTTGTGTTAAAAAGAACTTTATTACCTCCTCTGTGTATAGAGGAGCCTTTCAGCTTAGTTCCCCCACCGAGGAACAAGAGGGGCTGCAGAGGCCGCGTGTGCCGCAGCTCCTTCCCCCCTCCCATTCTTGGGTAGGCTGAGGGTCGGCATCACATAGTCCAGTCAAGTGCTGTGGCTCCTGGCCAGGCCGCAGGACGCGGCAGTAGCGCAGCTGGTAGCCCGGCCCAGGAGGCGGCCTGGTTGGCAGCCTCCTCATCAGAGGTTTGGCTTAGGCAGAACTCCCTCGTCCCAGTAGAAGATTCCAGAGGCCAGCTGTGCCTCCTCATCACTTATCTTCATCCTCTGGCTCAATCCTCCCCTCTTCTGGATGGGAAATCCTCCCTTTTCTAGATGAAGTCCTCCCCTCTTCTGGACAGAAAGTCCTCCCATCTTCTGGGCAGGAAGTCCTCCCTCTTTTGGACAGGAAGTTCTCTTTTCTGGACAGGAAATCTACTACTATTTTCACAGCATTTCCTAAAGACTGGGGTCACTAATAGTGCTAGATAGACCCAAAGTGCCGTGGCTTTGCAGGCTGGGGCCTTGCTGGTGGCTGGCGGTCAGTCCCTGCAGCTGCTCCGTCCAGCGCGGCTGGGCAGCCGGTGGGCAGGTTGAAGCGCTTGTGCCCTCCTTTCTGCTGATGGTGTGTTGACAGTCCCTTTCCCCGCCCTCCACTGAGGGCTCCAGAAACACCAGTGTTGCTCAGTGATGCCGGTCTCATGCTGTGCTGTGAGCGGGCGGCACCGACGAGGCCTTGGTCCAGTGTGCCTCGTGTGATGAGGCCTGGGTTGGTTTTATAACTTGCATTGAACTGGCACTTAAGCATCCAGTGTAGCAAGTGGCAACTGGCTTGGGCTGTTTCCCCATTCTCTCAGCACCCCCCTTCCTGGTGGCCTGGGTTGGACCCCGTCTTCCAAGTGCTGGGACCTGTTACTAGTGGCTTTTAAGAGGCTGGCGCAGGCACGGCGTTCTGCCCACACTGTCCTCCTACACCCTGACTCGCCCTCTCCTCCTCTGCGGGCCTCTGCCTGGCTCCTGTGGTTCAGGGTGTGGCCTCCCTTTCCTGGCCTCGCCAGCTTCCTTCCGGGCTACTGCCAGAAAGGATCCCCAGCATTCCCAGTTGGGGTGAGGTGGAGAGCCATGGGTCTCTGCCCCTGCCTGATCCTTAATCCCCTGCTGTACCTTCCTTCCCGGGTCCCCAGGCTTTGTTCCTCCTGTCACCCCAACTTCGCCCGCCCTCACCACACTCAGCAGCGGGGCTCGCTGGGGAACTGCTCCTGCAGCATCTGTAGAACTTCCTCCAACAGTGAGATCCCCAGGTCCACTTTGAAGGAGACGAAGGGGTCACCGAGGTCCGGAGCAGGCGTCCTCGGGCGGGCGGGTGTGGCCGAAAGGTCCTCCTCGGAGAAGTGGTGGAGCGGGCCCACCAGGGACAGCGCGGAGGGCAGGGTGGCGGCGTAGGCGGCAGTGTAGGGGGTTGGGGGCTCCAGGATGTTGGGGCAGCTGGAGCTTTCTCGGTACAGACGAGGGGGCTTGGGAGGAGCCAGCAAGGTGGCCCGGGGCTGTTCATCCCCCCACAAGGGCAGACGCCGGCCATCTGGCCTCCCTTGCAGTTCCCGGATGACCTCGCGGTTGCTGTACTCCTCATGGTCGCCGCCCGCAGTGCTGGCCTGGCTGAGCACGCTGCCCTGCCTCCGCAGGCGCCGGGGCCGCCCCAGGGTCAGCCGCTTGAAGAAGGAGGCATTGCGGAAGGAGCCTTTCCTCCAGGTCTCCATGTGCCCTGGAGAGGCAGCGGACAGGCCTGTCCTCTCAGAAGCCCCGCACAGGTGTCCCAGAGCAACTAGTGACCATTGGTCCCTAGTGGATGCCAGGAATCGGGGAGAGAGCCCTGGCAGGGGCTAGAAGCAGCCCTGGGTCTCTGCTCAGCCAAGTCCTCGGGCCTGGAAGAGGGAGCTCCCCAGGGATCCTGTGGCCTGGTTACTTCACAGGACGTGGAAAAACCCCAGAGGAAAAAAGCAGCACTTACGAGGTGGAGCGGGGCCGCGGGGCAGCAGAGCTGGATCTTGGCTGGCCGGGGCTCCCTGCACTCAGCCTCCACGCGCTCGCTCCGAGCAGGAGGCAGAGGGCCCCCGCTGGCTGTCGTCTCTGGCTGTTCCTGGCCCTGGGCCTCTGTCTAGGCCAGCGGAGGACTGCGCCCGGCTGCCGCTGCTGTGGGACTGATGAGTGGCGTGGCTGTGGTGCCAGCGTGCGGCAGCGATGTGTTTGTTTCCAGCTGACTCAGTCAGGTGGGAAGCTGGGTTTCACGCTGTGAGGTCATTGCAGCATCCGCGGGCTGGGCAGCTGTGACCCACACCCCAGGGCAGTCGGGAGCTTTGGATTCCTCCTAGGACTGGTCTGGGGCAGCCTGGTTGGTTGGTGTGTCACCAAGCTTCCTTTCTCACCACAGTCCACCCCACTCCCCCCCCGCCCCCCCCCCCCCCAGCACTCAAGGGCCCTGCGCCCAGCCTCCAGTGTGTCTGGGAGGAGCGCAGCGGTGGGAGCTAATTGAAAGGCAGGCGTGTGGAACAATTGTTGGGAAGGAAGAGACCTGCTGCTGGTGGGGTGACTCAGCCCTGGGGCTACTGACAGGGCTTATTAGCACAGCCTGCCGGAATGGGGGGCGGGGGTGTTGATGGGGAGCAGCCTCATGCCTGTGAAGGGCCCGCTCCTCCCAGGGCTGGCAGGGGCATGCCAAGGGCAGCTCCAGGTTCTCCTGGCAGAGCAGCGTGGCCTCCCTGCCCTCACCTCCAGGCTGGCTGCTGCTTCCTCCTCCTCCTCTACCTGGAGGGCCTCCAGGCAGGAATAGAGCAATTAGGGCCAGCGTCCTGGTCCTGCTCCCCCTCTGGCTGCGGGGCCCTGTTCTGAGCCCTTCTTCTGCAGAGGGGGCTAGCCCTTCCAGGGATGTCCTGGGGGCCTGGCTGAGGGCCACTCAGGAGCCAGGGTCGGGGTAGGCTGGGCTGTGGAGGTGAGGATCTGAGCAGCACTTTCTGTTGCTCTTTACCCCCTCCTTCAAACCAGTTGGCCTGGACTTGGCTACTTCATGCCAGCCACTCCCCTGTTCCTCCCCATCTCAGCCCCTGGCCTCCTCCTGGCCTGTCCGATGAGTGTCAGCCAGATAGAGAGCCCCAGAGCAGGGCTGCACAGCTCCGCTACAGACAGGCCATGGCATCTGCACCCCCTCTGTCCTGTTGACCACAGGAAGGGCTCCCGGCTTCTGCTGCTCCAGACCTATCAGAGCGAGCGTGGGATCGGCAGCTCAGGGCTCTGCTGGGTGCAGCCATTGTGGTGATGATTACTCTTGTGATGATGATTATTTTGTGTGTGTGTGTGCACACGCATACGTGCGCTTGACTTGGGGTTTCAATGCAGAGCCTGGGTCCTGTCCCTGAGCTTTTTTGCTCAAAGTTAGCAGCTTACTTTTCAACCATAGCTCCACTTTGGCTTTTTTTTTTTTTTTTTTTTCGGTTGTGGGGCTTGAACTCGGGGCCTGGGCACTGTCTGTCAGCTCTTCAGCTGAAGGTGAGCACTCTACCACTTGAGCCATAGCGTCACTTCTGGTTTTCTGAATCATTTATTGGAGGAGTCTCTCAGATGGGGCTGCCTAGGCTGTCTTTGAACCAGGATCCTCAGATCTTAGTCTCCTGAGTAGCTAGGATTGCAGGCGTGAGCTACTAAGCCTGGCTTTTTTTCTTTTTTTTTGTCAGTCGTGGGGCCTGAACTCTAGGCGCTGTCCCTCAGCTCTTCAGCTGTAGACTAGCGCTCTACCACTTGAGCCTCAGCCCCACTTCTGGTTTTTTCTGCTTATGTGGTGCTGAGGAATCGAACTGAGGGCCTCATGCGTGCAAGCACTCTACCACTGGGCCACCTTCCCAGCACCATGCCTGGCTTTCTTGTGGTTAAACTAGCCCTCCGTATTCCCCCCATGCTGTACAGGGCTCCCTTCTCCAGCGTGCTCAGGAGCCAGGCCTCAACCAGACCCCGGGAAGCCCAGCAGAGCCTCTGGACCCTGCACCTTACAGCCTCCACTAGAAACCAAGCACATGCCCCAGTAGAGGGAAGGAGAGTCAGAGACAGGGTGGAGAGGGAATGAAGGCAGGGTGATGATTCACAAGGAGGTGTGAAGTGCTCTGCGGACTCCGCCGGGGGCTGAATGAGTGGTGGGCCCCAGGGACAGGTGCGCCACCAGGAGAGCTGGAGGGAACAGTGGAGGTTCTGGTCCTCCCTCCTTGACCTTTATTATCTACCCAGGCCCTGTCCCCAGTTTGTGGTCTGTGGGGCCGTGCTCTGTGGCGCTGACCCTTCCTGTTCCCCGTGTCCCCCAGGGCTCAGTGCTGTCCGAGAGGGACTACGAGAGCCTTGTCATGATGCGTATGCGCCAGGCTGCCGAGCGCCAGCAGCTCATCGCCCGGATGCAGCAGGAAGACGAGGGGCAGCCCACGTAGCCTGGCTGCAGCCCTCCGTCCTACAGCCCTTTTCTTAAACAGCACCAATAAACTTTTGAAAAAGCCTCTACCTCATGAAGAGTTCCTTCCACCTAGGTGTAGGGTCCTCGACTCATAAGGCCCCGCCCAGGCCCTCACCCCCTCCCCAGGAGGAGACAGATCCCCAGCAGTGTCATACTTGGCAACAGAGGAGGGACCATGAACCAGAGCCTTTTATTGGCCTAGACTGGCTCTGCAGGCCCCGCCTGACTGATGGTGAGGCTGTCCTCCCCAGATGCGGAATCTGGCGGGGGTACCCTTGTCCTGGGGCCAGGCCTGCAGCCAGGGGCAGCTGGGAGCAGTGGCAAGGACCCTGGAGCAGGACTTCTGAGGGCCACTCACTGCCCCTCTGTGCTGGGCCAAGGGGGTGACAATTTGGGAAGAGACAACAGGACAGCCAGTGGGACAGGACTCGCGGGACCAGGTCCATGGCAGTGGGTCACTCCTTGTGCAGGCACCACACCAGTGTCTGGCCCACCCCTGTCATGCTCAGCACGCGGAAGCCCCTGCGCTCCAGCTTGTCCAGGACAATGCGTGGCGGATCGTTGACGTAGTACTCATAGCTGCAAAGACACCGGGGTGGAGGTGAGGGACAGAGCAGCCCCCACAGCCTCCCCCCCCCCTCCCCCCAGCTATTTGCGCAGCAGCACAGGCCCCCTTCCAGGCTGTCCTGCAGCCCTGGGGCTACAGGGTTGGCTCCTGGCTTAAGGAATGCTGGTTTGTTCCTTCTTGCAGGTTTTGGGCTTGGATTTGCTGTTCCTGAGCTTTTGTGCTCAAGGATAGCACACTACCACTTTGAGCCACAGTGCCACTTCTGGTTTCCTGGTGGTTAGTTGAAGGTGAGATCTTCATGGACTTTCCTTCCCCGGGCTGGCTTCAAATGGCAATCCTCAGATCTCAGCCTCCTGAGGAGCTTTTTCAGGTTTATTGGGTGTTGAAATGCCATGAAACAAAAGGGGCTTGATGCCCAAAACCTGGAACTCCTTTTGGGAGGAGAGCGGAGTAGTCCTGGGATTTGAACTTAGGACTTCATGCTGACTGGGCCAGGCAGTCTTATTTCTTTTTCAGATAGGGTCTTGTGTTTTTGTTCAAAGCCAGCCTCAGACCTCTATCCTAGTATGCGCACCACTGTGCCTTGCTTAGTAGTTGAGATGGCCTTGCGTAGGTTTTGTTTTGCCCAGATTGGCCTCAAACCATGGTCCTCCTACTCTGTCTCCCGTGTAACTAGTATTACAGGTGTAATCCATCAAGCCTGGCCCAAGCTAACATCCTGAGGCAAATGTCTCGTGTGCACATCATGGTGTTGGCTTCTGCCCTCCACCCCTAACCCAAGGGTCTCGATAGGTTCATCTCCCTTAACCCCTTCCATTTGAACTGGGACTCATGGGGCAAGTCTTCTCAGTATCCCCCAACCGGTGTGGCCCGCTATTCTCTCCCAGTACTGGCTAGGAAGGTCAAGGGAGTGGTATGGTCTCCGTGTAGACGCGGAGGTGGGATGATGGATGTCAAGGGGGAGTGGCTGATTGCCCAGGCAGTGAGCTGGTGACCTGATTTTTAGCCCTCTAATGTGGAGACCTCTCTGCCGCGCTGGATCGGTGGGCCTAGTACTGAGGGGAGAGGCCAGGGACACAGTCCTCTAGGGAGTTCTCGACCCATGTGGCTGTCTGTCCTGGGCTCTTTGGCCCTTGGGCAGGACTGGGGGAGGGTGGGGGGAATGGAGGTGTTGAGGGAAACCTTACTCACAAATTATTTCCAAGCACGCTTCTCTTGGAGGCCCCCAGATGCTGCATCAGCTCGGGATCCGAGTACTCATCGCCCACCATGGTAGGACCCACCTCCTGCAAGGTAAGTAAGCCACAGAGGCTGCGGGGCGGGGTCTGTGGAGGCGCAAAGCTGGGAAGGTGGTCCCTGACTCCCCGAAGCAGAGTGGGACATGGCACTCAGGAGGACTGAGAGTTCAAGACCAGCCTGGGCTACACGGTGAGACCTATCTCAAAAAATAAAATCCCAAAAAGACCACACCCCCAAACTACTAGAGCTTTATAAGGGGATCTTGTTTGGCAATAAAAAAGATTATTATGGTTTATGGAGACATCCATAACCCAGGAGACATCCTGGTTAGAAGCTGTTTTGGGTTTGTGGCAGCGGCTCAGATAGAACAGCAAGTTCAAACCCCACGACCAGTAAGTTATTTATTTTTTGTTGGTCATGGGCCCAAACTCTGGGCCTGCGTGCTGTTCCTCAGCTCTTCAGCTCAAGACTATCGCTCTACCACTTGAGCCACAGTGCTACTTCTGGCTTTTTCTGCTTATGTGGTGCTGAGGACTCGAACTCAGGGCCTCATGCATGCCAGGCAAGCACTCTACCACTGAGCTACCTTCCCAGCCCTAAGATAAATTTATTTGTTTTGTTTTTTGTTGTTTTTTTTCTGGGTCCGGTTGTGGGGCCTGAACTCTGGGCCTGGGCGCTGTCCCTCAGCTCTTCAGCTCAAGGCTAGCGCTCTACCACTTGAGCCACAGTGCCACTTCCGGCTTTTTTCTTTTTGCTTATGTGGTGCTGAGGAATCGAACCCAGGGCCTCATGCATTACAAGGCAAGCGCTCCACCACTGAGCCACCTTCCCAGCCCCCCTAAGATAAATTTAAAACAACAAAAAACATTTGGAGGAATTGCAGGGTGTGGGGGAAGGGCCCAAAACCATCTGAACAGCCACAGGTGAGGGGTCCTGAACCACTGCCCCTCCTGTTCAGGGGTGAACGCCGGTGCCCGGTTCCACATCCACAGCCCACTGGCCCCAGAGCCTGCCCCATCCCAGAACCCACCTGTCCCAGAACCCACCTGTCCCAGAGCCCACCTATTCCAGAGCCTGCCCCATCCCAGAACCCACCTGTCCCAGAGCCCGCCCCATCCCAGAACAACCCACCTGTCCCAGAACCCACCTGTCCCAGAGCCCACCTATTCCAGAGCCTGCCCCATCCCAGAACCCACCTGTCCCAGAGCCCGCCCCATCCCAGAACAACCCACCTGTCCCAGAGCCCGCCCCATCCCAGAACAACCCACCTGTCCCAGAGCCCGCCCCGTCCCAGACTTCGCCCCGTCCCCGAGCCCGCCCCGTCCCCGAGCCCGCCGCAGTCTCAGCTGTGGGCTCCGCGCGCATCGCTGTGGGTCCGCGCTGGGGCCCAGGGGGGAAGGGGGTCCGGAGGCCCGCGCTGGCCGGGGGGGGGGGGGTGCCGCGCTCGGACCGGGCCGGGCGGTCACGACCCAGAGTCGAATGGGACTCCCCGAGTTTTCTGGATGGAGCTTTGGCCCCTTCCCGGGGTCCTCCGCCCTCGGGTGTCCCAGGCCAGCAGCCGCCCCCGCCCCTCCGCCCCCCCCCCCCCGCTGGGCCCCACCGCGGGCGGGCAGCCGGGCGCGCACTCACCATGCGGATCTGCGTGCTGATGAGCAGGTACGGCATGGCGCGGCGCGGCGCGGTCCCGTCCCGTTACTCCGCGGTCTGCAGCCGCCGCGGCGGGCCGCCAATCCCGAGCGCGCGGCGTGACGCGCCCGGCCCCGCCCCCCGGCGCCCGCACCCCCCCCCGGCCCCGCCCCCCGGCCCGCGCCTCCCGCCCCCCCCGGCCCCCCCCCCCCCGGCCCGCGCCTCCCGGCCCCCCCCGGCCCCCCCCCCCGACCCGCGCCTCCCGCCCCCCCCCCCGGCCCGCGCCTCCCGCCCCCCCGGCCCCGCCCCCCGGCGCCCGCCTCCCGCCCCCCCCCCCGCCCCGGCCCGCGCACCTTCCCCCTCCCCCCGGCCCGCGCCTCCCGCCCCCCCCCCCGGCCCCGGCGCCCGCCTCCCGCACCCCCCCCCCCCCCGCCCCGGCCCGCGCACCTTCCCCCCCCCCCCCCCCCCCCCCGCCCCGGGCGCCAGGTCCGTGCGCGCCGGGCCGCCCGGCGCCGGGTCCGAAGTCCGCGGGGCTCCGCAGCCTGCCCGTCCCCCGGCGGGGTGCAAAGGCTTCTGACCGGGCTCCAGCACACCCGCCCGGGGACCCGGCAGCCCTGGGCGCCCGCGGTCAGCCCTCGGAGCCCGCGGTCAGCCCTCGGAGCGGGGCCTGGGACGCCGCCGCGGCGCCGTCGATGCCGCACCTTCGCCCTCCTGTGACCCCACAGGTTGAGAGAGTGCGCGCTGTGCGCGGCCGGGCGGCCGGTGACCGGACCCCCCACGCCTGCCCCCACGCCTGCCCCCAACACCTGCCCCCCCACGCCTGCCCCCCCCACGCCTGCCCCCCCACACCTGCCCCCCCACACCTGTACCTCCCAACACCTGCCCCCCCCGCCTGCCCCCCCCACACCAGCCCCCCCACGCCTGCCCCCCCAGCACCTGCCCCCCCACACCAGCCCCCCACGCCTGGCCCCCAAACCTGCCCCTCCCACACCTGCCCCCCCCCACACCTGCCCCCCCACGCCAGCCCCCCACGCCTGCCCCCCCAGCACCTGCCCCCCCAACACCTGCCCCCCCACGCCTGCCCCCCCAGCACCTGCCCCCCCCACACCTGCCCCCCCACACCAGCCCCCCACGCCTGCCCCCCCACGCCTGCCCCCCCAACACCTGCCCCCCCACGCCTGCCCCCCACGCCTGCCCCCCACGCCTGCCCCCCCACGCCTGCCCCCCCACGCCTGCCCCCCCACACCAGCCCCCCACGCCTGCCCCCCCACGCCTGCCCCCCCACGCCTGCCCCCCCACACCAGCCCCCCACGCCTGCCCCCCCACGCCTGCCCCCCCAACACCTGTCCCCCCACGCCTGCCCCCCCAACACCTGCCCCCCCACGCCTGCCCCCAACACCTGCCCCCCCACGCCTGCCCCCCCAGCACCTGCCCCCAACACCTGCCCCCCCACGCCTGCCCCCAACACCTGCCCCCCCACGACTGACCCCCCAGCACCTGCCCCCCCACGCCTGCCCCCAACACCTGACCCCCCACGCCTGCCCCCCCACGCCTGCCCCCAACACCTGCCCCCACGCCTGCCCCCAACACCTGCCCCCACGCCTGCCCCCCCAC